AGTGCAACATGCCTTAACGCATTTGACCCAGCTGGCTCAGACACTGAGAACAAGCCTGGTACCAAGGCAGGGATTTGGTAGTAGGTTTGTTGAACATGGATAGGCAAGCATTTGATTGAGGCTGTTAGTGACGAATTCGCTGGTGACAGGTCTATGTTGTGAGTCGGCCCTTTATCGTTTGTGCGTGGTCGGAAAGCTTGTCGTTAGGTGAAGCTACAAGGGGTAGGCCGAATCCGCCTTGGTGGTGTTACAGTCGGCAGGTGGCACTAAGGTTTTGTTAGTGCAGCGTTTGGGGCTTTTGTGCTGTATCGCAACAAAATTCCCACATGGTCCCCTGGAGTGCCACGCTACAACTAGAGTGGATGCTGCGGCTGCAAAAACCGTGAGCGCAAACGTGAAAGTCTCTTGACGGCGTCATCCTGAAAGATGCTTCATTTACAGAATGGCGTGGGTGCTGTTCATTTCTTGTTCTATGGTCTCTGCAGTTCATGGTTTACGGGGAGAACCAGGGAAGAAAGTGGAGGTGTCGCGTTGATGCTGTTTATCATTGTAGCAGTGTGGTCGATCTTTCTATCCATTTCCAAGCTTTACCTATGCATCTTTGCAGTTACTTACCTCTCGGTCTAACCGTCTATGTGTCTAATCTACTTAGTTAACTCTGTATCCACTCGCATGTCCGCCCCGTGCCTTTATCTATCGACCTGTCCATGTGTCTGTCGATCGACCTTTCTGTGTGTCTACGTATCGTTTAAATTTGCGCTAATCTACCCACCTATCAACGTTGTGACCTAGTTACCTGCCCTCCACTCATCCACTCACCCATTCATCCAAGCAAAGGCTTCAAGCAAATAGGGCATAATAGGATTGATTTGATTTGTCTAACGCTACTGAGAAAGTTTTTGAACATGCTTACGGCTAACCACTCTCGCGCCTCATCGTCGTGGCCGCCGTCACCATCATCATTATCATCACCTAGCGGCATATTGTCCGTAGAATTAGGTTTTTCATTTTCTTCTTTGTCCGTAGAAGCAGCGGTGCGAAGCAGAACCATTTGTGTTTGCGCTAAATAAAACTATTGCAAACGATTTTCATAAACTTTTGACCGGGCTTCTTTTCTCAACTACAGGGTTCAACCAAGTGTGGCGCTTTCGCATGATCTGTAAACTGGAGGCACGTTTTCTTCCTGAGCGGAGGTCAAGCCATTCTCGAAGAAAAACGTAGATCGTGCTCTCTGTCTCTCTTCTCTGTCTCTGTCTCTGTCTCTGTCTCTGCGCCGCATGCTTAGCATGGCTGCTCAAAGGCGGCGCGCGCCTGTAACGAGTTCTGACAAGGTGCTAAAATTCACGAGTTCTGATTGGGCCGCGGCACCGCCCAGCAGGCATTCAACTTGGCGGCGCTGCCCTGCCCAAGCAGGCTGGGCCACGGGGCCGCGCGAGGACCTAATGGCGCGAAAACGAGAGGTATCAAAGGCGAATCTCCTGTGCGGATCTCCTGTCGCGCGGACGAAGTCAGCTTTTGAAAGTCCCAGCGTTTGCAAGGCGGATTTGCGACAAGGCTGCTCCAAGTCTGCGCTCAGTGCCGTGAATTTGCCCAAATGGCAACTGGCCCAAAAAGCGGGGAACTGCAAGTGGCAACTCTTGTGTGTCGTTAGGCTCCAGAGAATGAAGGCGACAAGGAAAGGCTGAAAATTTTTGCAAGAAGCGGAAGGGGTACGAGTCTCCTTTTTGGTTGTTTTGGTTAAAAAAAGCTAAATGGCGACTCCTGGTTTACCTGGTGGTTTCATCATCTAGCAAGGGGGTATGACTTAGACTAGGTCCCCCGGCTAGGTTCCCCTACTAAACTAGACTGCAGAAACAAATCGGGTACCCTTATTCTATCCTTTGGCCCCTGGCCTTCCTTGACCAAGCGTAACTTGGTCAACCGGTCTGACCAAGTTCTGCTCAATGTTTACTGGAATATTGTGAGTTGGCCAGGTTAAACTTGGCCAAAACAACTCGAGGGCCACGGTCGCAAGTGTGTTAATATGAGCGAGCCACAGGGAGAGTGTGGCGAGGCACTTAAGGAGAGAGGAACTCCCCTGACGAAGTTGCAGCTTGGCGGGGCTGCTTTTGCTCCTTGCTTTTGGGCTTGCTTCCGTTGCCCTTGTTCTGCTCGGTCTTGGCCGGTCACTGTCCAGAACCCCCTGCAAGCTCACAGCTGGCAGGATTTCACCGAAGATGGTCTGGATTTGTTCGTTTTGCATGGTGGGCCACAAGTTTCTGCGCAAGTCAATCTGGAGAGCCAAAAACCTACAGCAATGAATGGTCATGCGCCAGCGTGCAACACTCAGGCTCACTGTCTCATGCAGGAGCTAAGCGTGGCCTACCCTGTCTAACCAGATCAAATAGACGTTTCGCGCATGCATGTCTGTCAAGTTGCAAAGCTTTGGCCTTACTCCGTCATCCGCGAAAAACCAGCCTTCAGACTGACGCAGAAGGGCCCGGTAATGGCCATGGAGAGGGGATGGACCTAGGTGCACCACGCACGCAATCGCCTGACAGCGACAACTGGACACGGAGAACCCGTCTGTGAAAACGGCCACGGCTGCTCTTGTACTTCTCCCAGTTTCCGTGGTAAGCTCCATGCTTTGTGTTCCCCCCCCCCTCTGCATCTGATGTTCCACATCCCAAATCCTCCAAGACATCGTTTTGTATTGTTGGTGGTTCGTTGTTGTTTTTGTTGTTTTGCCCTGTCATTGTTTTGGTTTGGGTTTCCTTCCTCGTTTTTTGTGTGATTACTTTCTCGTTGCTGAAACAGTGGACCTGCGTGATCGCGGTTGGCTACACGGATGAATTAAAATGACATAGCGCAGCGCATTATAAGCTTCGAAGACCTTGGTTTTTTTGTTAGACAATTTTCTCTCGCTTGTTACTTCTACCACAGAAGCAAAACATATTGGCATGGCCAATGCAAATCTGATAGATTGCCCTAATTTGATATTTTCAATCGATCCAGCCAAACTTCGTCAACTTTTTGGCAGTTCTGGCGAAAAGCCCAACCCGGCTTTTCTTTTTTTATTCCATGCGGAAACTGATGCAAGAAGTCCAACCTCGCAATTTCACTTGGGTAAGGTGTCCATCAGAAGTGGAATGCGTGGAAACATTATGGTGGCAATTTTTAACTAGGGAACCGTGTCCAAATGCAGCTTCTCTAAAACAGTCCAGGCTAAATAGCACCCCGTTTTTTGGTTGCTTGCGGCGGCGAGCATTCGTCAGCCCTGGAAACATGTCCTATGTTCATGTGCAGCCGCGGACAGTTTTCAAAAAATCTCAGTGGTTGTTTTACTTCGTGCGGCCATTTGCGATTGCGCAGGTCCGCGCTATGTTACACATGTGCTACTTGTCGTTTTGCGGGATCGTCAGGTCTTTTGTTGAAGTTGTTCTTTTTGGAAGGTTTAGGATCGTCACAAACTGGTTGCCATTCCTCAGAAATTTCAGACGAGGAGACAGCGCGGCAAAGGTTTTGCCATCAAGGGCACCTACCGACGTGCTCAGCAGCATTGTGGAGATTTGGTACCGGCCCGTGGGTCCGCCTTTGCAGTTCAAATGTGATCAAGATAAAACTATGGAACTTATGGTGGTGAAGTCGCTGGCTGGCTCGACATGGCATACTGTATGATCAAGTTTTTGCCAAAACTCATAGTCACATCGGCCGGATAGAAAGACGCAACGCCTTGATGCGCACGCTGGTCGAGGGCGTGATTTCACAATTTCGGCATTGCGCTCAAGAAGGAATTGGTTCAGGCTTTGGTGGCCATCCTGCACACGATCAACAGCTGCACCTTCAGCTATGGAAGGAGCCCCAGCCAGGCCGTGTTTGGCAAGGGGCTCCACCTCTTGGCGACCTTATCAGTGACCCCATCAGGGACCCCAAGTCTTTGGTGCTTTCAGATCAAGATGGTCGACTAACCCTCGAACACGGAGGCATAGCACGCCTATTGTGACGAAGCTGCGCCGCCCCTCAGCAAACGCCCACGTAGCGCCAGAAGCCCCACCCAAACTACACGTTGCAGGAACACAGGCAAAGCAAAACACCCTGCAGTTTGCAAGCCTCAGTTTGTCGTCACATGAAAACCAATGGCGAAGCTTGCCATGCGGCCTGGGAAATGTTTTGACTTGAGTCACTCGCGTGTGTGCGTCACTCGCGTCAATGCGTTACGTAAGCCGGAAGATGTACCGAAGTCAACGCTTGGGCTTGCGGAAAGGGATGCAGAAGGGTCGGAAGTTTGAATTTCCGATCAAATCGAAAGGAAATAAACGCCAACGCGCAGGGGGCACACCTAAAGCTCTTGAGAAATTGCAGGAATTGATTTGGAGCTTTGTTTTTCATTCTACGGCCTGATATACTCTTTGCAAATCAAATATTGTTGCTGGGGAAGCTGAAAAGGGAAGTTCGGAAGACACATACTCCACGGTGTTCTGGTGCAAGGTGACTAACCAACCGGGAATCCAGTATGTTGAGACATAGCTAGGGGCAAGTGAGTCAGCTCTGACGTACTAGGCGCGGAAGGATCTACTTTGGCAGGTTGATCAATAGCTACAACTGTGGCGACTTAAAAACTCCAATCTTGGTAGGACGATTCACGGCCCTGTCCAGGTATTTGAGAATCGGCGAAATGAAGTACCGGACCGCAGACAGCGTTCATTAATTTTGGATACACATCATGCACACAAACACATTTTGCCTATGCATCTTTTCAACGAGCATGTAATCCTCACCTGCGTTTCACCGACTTGGTGTTGTGCATGCGGCCAACCACAATCCGAATATGAACATCAAAACCAAACGCAGGTGGAGTTGCCTTGTGGTTTGTAATGCACAACTCAGAGAAATGGCAAGACAATGCCAGAAAAAACATGAGGTTGTGTGCCGAATGTCAGCACGCAACATGATCTTGAATTTGTTTGCGACTTGTGTAATGCTTTTGGTGAAATTTGTTTGCTCGGCGGTGGCACCATTCCAGTCGTCAGGGCAGTGTGTGACCCATGGCACGTGTGAATGGAATGGCAGCGAGGACAGCAAGTTATCAGAATTGACTATTGACCCAGTTCATGACGAGTGCATGCACGTACGCTGAAAGGAGGCCAGGCCGGCATTGACATGTTTGGGCTAGCATGGTTGACCGGCAAATGGTTTCATGCCTTTGCCGACAAACTCAATTGCCATGCAGGATTTGTTGGTTTGTCAGATTCACGTGTTTGGTGCCAAAGCGAAGATGTACTCCGATTCAAGATGCTCTTTGCATCAGCATGACCGCAGGTTTGCAGCCCAGCTGCGGACTTTTCATGCGACCATCTGACAAGATTCCCTCAGGACCCTGTCACGTCGTGCAACGCAAAGCACGTCAGCCAGGCCTTGTTGCGGGGCAATGTGCAGAGTGATACTGTGTCTTTAGTTGATCAATCTGCGCATGGCTTCCAAAAAATGCATCATGGGGCGCAGCTGAGCATTCACGGAAGAACATCTTAGGGCTCATGATTGAGTCTTCAACATCCTTAGACGCAATACCAGGCACTTCAGGCTGAAGTGAACAACGTGCAAAGACTCGGTCTCAAGTTTGAAGGACCGGTAGACATCATGTAGAGGTATTCGAAGAAACGCATTTTTGACGTGCTGGAAGGCTGCCAAGAAAGGTGCTTCTCAGCGCCGGGTTAAGGCTTGCAAGCTGTGGCTGTGGAAAGACAAACCAAGGCAGAAACTCCAAGGCAGGAGTTGGTGCCTGCATCAAGCAGTTGACAGACTCGAAGCACTTCCTTCAGGACCTTAGAGGAACGTGATAATTCGATCATCGTTCGTCGATTTATCGCGGCTCTGTTGCTCTGCTGTTTTGGTTGTTCTTTCGCCATTTTTGGGTATATGAAGGCTGTGAAAAGTGGCATGCGTGTAGCAGGGATAAAACATATCTGCAAGCTGGATCCAAGAGCAAGTAGTAGCGCTGCTAGTTGCCAGGCATATAACATGCCAGTCCTTGGAAACATGAAGCTTGTTTTTTCCTGCTTGATCCTAAACTGCCGGGCGTCCAGCGCCGCATCCGTGCGGAACACTTCACCCCCTTCGGTCTTTCTTTCTGACTCAGCAGAAGCCCCTTATGCAGACTGGCAAGCAATGGAAGTTGGCAACTGTGCAGACTACGCCAGTCCAGCCAGTTTATGAATTGTAATCCCCTGTGCCAGGAAGCACCTGGCAGATGAGAGGCAGGTTTGATCCCAAAGAGCATCCACCTCAGACGCGCTTCAGCATGTCACCAAGTGCTAATTGTCATGGCCACTGCTGCCCAGGCTCCAAAACAAGCCCAAGCACTCGCTGGTTCAAACGGTCGATCGTCTCAGGCGAGCGTTCGGACAGCAGTCACTAGCAGTGCATGTTGTGATCCTGTTGTGTGCTTTCGAAGGCGAGACGGTCTCTTGAGCATCAAGGTGCCTTTGTCGGGGCTCATTTGTCACACGAGCAGCCTGGTCAGGAGTGCTCGACAGCAATCAATGCTCTCGGTCGTGCTTCTGCGTGGCCGGAGGCAATGTTTGCCAAGCCACACCTGGAATTGTGATTTGGAGTTGAGTTGTGAGTTTGCCATTTCAACTCAGAATTGGTTCATTTGACTGGGTTGCAGAATTTGGACTGCGGCAGGCCCTTGGTCTTCTCTGCGGCTTACGTAGTGACAGCTTGCTGCTCAGACGGGTCAGGCGTCCTTTTGTCCGTTTTTGGCCTGGTGTATTCTGCCAGAGCTTGGTCTTGTCTTTCAGGGCTTCTTTTCACCATAGGCCTGGAGCCCAGCAGCATCACCTACGGCGCAGCGCTGGGGGCTGCCTCTCGGCCAAGTTCGACCAGTTCGACTCTCTGAATTCGTTTGGGGAGTTTGGGCTTGTCGAGCTTGAGATTGCGGGGGCTAAAGAGTGCGCAGGTGCCTTCCTGGAGTATCTGCTTGTCGCTGATCGGTCAAGCTCTTCAAGCAGGCTCTCTGAAAGTTTGGATACAGAGGGAAATCCCAAGTCCAGAATTGTTTGTCTTGCAAAGAGCCAGATTGCTTTGTTTTCTAGCAGTTTCCTAGGCTTTGGATCCTGACTGGTCTGCCTGCAAAGCATTATTTTTTTGGCGTGCGTTGTGCAAGGCACCCCCACGGGTCCAATTCACATCACTGTAGGGCTCCGAGGACGGGAGGACGGCTTGATCTATTGCTGAGGCAAACACACGGAATCACACGGAGTCAGCCGATTGAACTTCCGGCTGAGGCTCTCATCAAGTCGCTATCCAAAGGTTCGGATTGGGCCAGGACATTGCAACGCGAAGCAAGCACATGTAGATATGAAATGCAGCTATTCGCAATGGTGCTGTGAGGAGCATGATGGCATGGCAGGACAGTGGTGCTAGGTGGCTTGCAGCACACTGACTGGCTGCGCTTGTCTTTGTCGCGCGTCTGGAGCTAAAGCAATCGTCTTTGAGTCTTTGAAGCAACCGTCTTTGAATCCATGTGCCAGGAGGTGCGGGACTGCAGCATGCTTGATCCCCGTCTGAACTCTGTGGCAGCCTCAATATCTATAGACAGCGAAGATCGAACCATTGAAACGAAAGTCTTTGATAGCATGAACGGTTTGAAACGATTCGGTTCCAAACTGAAAGCAAGAACGGGTGCTTAAAAGTCTTTAAAGAACGGTTAAAGAAACTTTAAAGAGACTATCATCGCGCTCACGGCTCACCCGAGGCCACCATTACGGCCCTGCGCGGGGAGCGCTGGACTGTCGCAGTGTGGCTGCTGAAGGAGCGACGTTTCAGACGGCTCCGGTCACTAGACCCGGTCTTCAGCTCACTCAGACAGGGATCACTTGGTCTTGTGAATGCTACGTTGCGAACGGGCAAGCTGTTTGCATGGGTTTTAACCAAATCAGGACTCACCATACACGTGTCTGCCTCACAATGGGCATCCTTCCTGTCGCTCTGCAGGAGGCAATGTGCTCAGTGCCACCCGACATTGTAAACTTCAACGCTGCGATCAGTGCTTGCGAGAAGGGCCAGCAGTGGGAACAGGTGGCCCCAGCATGGATTTCCCAAGAACCAAGGCATGCTTGCAAACTGAATTATGATTGAACAAGCTAGAACCGACAAGGGCTTTGTCAACTGCGAATTGATCCTATTGCGATTCACATAGGAACGCAGAAGTCAAGACAAAACGAGTGGACACTTGGAGAGCTGTGCTAGTCACGCACCAAAGAACAGGCTGACTTGACATGCGCAGAAGATCAGGCTGAAAGCTCAAAAGAAGCGATTTCCCGAGGCTGTTGCCAGGTTAGATCTTGTACATGCCTCCTGTGTGGAAGCATCCGGATGGAGGGAATCGTTGTTAAATACAACATGCCAGGCATATGTTTGTGGAAGCCACCGCACTGCGCTTTTTGAGGCCCTGACCTTGCTGGATGCTGCTGGGGGTCTCAGGGTGCAGGCACAACATTTGGCACACCGATACAATGCTGCATAAAGACCGGGTAAAATTGCAAAGCCTCAAACTTTGATGACCCAGTTGACCTGTCTTTGTCAAAAGCAAACCCGATTGCATTGTTCAGCTTATGATTGTTTTGATTGTTTTGATTGTTTTCATCGATATGACAGCTTGTTTTTGCGCAGCACAATGCCCATGCCTGCAGCCAGGCTGAGACAATCACCTTCAGCTAGGCCCTCAATATTTGTTTTGAATGAGGGCAGTGGCAAATTATCCCCGGTGTTGCTTCCAACTGCACACCGAGGTGAATGTACATTTCGTGTCAGACATAATTGTAGAAGATAGTCAACTTCACGTAGCTTGCGTGGAGACCCCTTTGCTTGTTCTCGCATGGAAGGCATCAGATAAAGTTTATGACAAGCTACTTGTGAAGTCTCCAACCGGACTCAAAACAAATCCGAGAACCTACTTGTACCCGCATGTTGATTCCTAAAAAACACACTTTCCTTGTTTTTTTTGGTTGCTCAAAGAGAATCGGCCGGATGCCTGGCCAGTCCGGAGGCTTTCGGAGGTCTGTTGCTTGCTTTTTTGGTCGGTAGGTCCAACGGTTTGGTCGGTTTGCTTATGTCCGGTTTGGGGGGGGAGCTGCTCTCCCTCCTTTGCAAAGTGTTTGTCGACTTGTTTGTTCTGGAGCTGACATCACGCAGCTTTCAGCCCAAGCCAAACTCAAGTCAGCCACTACACCCTACCCAGAAATTGGATCTCAGCCAATCTTCAACTCAAGCCACTCTCAAGACGAAAGATTCCTTGAACTGACCCAAATCCTGAGAACGCCGTGCATATACTTTGATACAAGCAACAACTCACCTTAAATCAACCTGCAAATGCCAGCTCTAAACCCAAGCTAAACCAAGCCTACACACTACCCTAAGCCATCCCAATCCAACTCAGGCCGCATCGAACATTCGCGCAATTCAACAGTTAAACCTTACCCAAACCCCATGCCAAGCGCAGCACAACAGCGTCCCCTAGCACCAGTGAGCTTTTGCACTCCCAAGTCAGTGAGAGCGCTGTCGATGATGCACATTTCAAGAATTCTCGAGACTTGACCAGCCGAAGCAACACAGGCCCAAGCGTACAGCCCAGTACTCAGCTAGATTTTCACAGCAATTGAATAATAGAAGGTGGAAGTCATATACTTTTCATAACGCGCACAAACCGCTGAATTAAAAATCAAAGGGGCCTCGCAGCATGCAGGTGGTGCCATCAGTGCCTGCGAGAAATGCCGGCAGTGGGAGAGGGCCCGGGTCGAGTAGTGATCCTTGTTTTGCGTGCGGCATGGTGCATTTTGAGTGGACGGGGAAGTTCAGGGATGCGGTGTGTGTTGTTTATGTTATTGCACAAGGCCTTGGCAATGTTGGGCCAATTGAAGAGGACTGAGGGCGACGGTTGAGTTGCGGCCAAAGCGGCGCAGATCTGAGGGACTCTTGGCTGGCAGCTTTCGAGCGTTCGAGGTTTGAGCCGCCAAAAACTATTGCAGTGCACGCAGCTCCACAATGTGGCCAAAAACATGGCGGGGTCAGAACAGAGCGGCATGCAAAGCATGAGTACGGAAGTGCCGCCCGAGTTTGAACATATGCGTGGCGAAGGAGCAGATTGACCGCAGACACAATCATTTACAGTGCTGCAATCAGCGCGCTGTGCCCTCAGCAAGGGGTGGATCACAGTGGTCACTTTGACGTTGGTGTGCGTGTGCGTACTGACGCACAGAACTCATTCTTGTATTGATTTCGCCTTTGTGCTGTTCAGATTATCCTATGCATGGCGAAGGCAGCTTAAAGCTGCCACTTTCAAGCGTGTAAATCAGTGGACCCATGTTTGAATGGAGGGAGTGAGCGTCTTTGAGCGTCTCGCTCTTCACCTCCAAGGGCGGCAATGCGGCAATGGGTGTACAGATGTGGTCTCAATGCCGTTGGCAAGGGGAATGTCTTCTTGGCGCTGACAGACAATTTGACAACAGCTATTGTTTCCGTCATACAGCTTTTCGTTCAATCCCTGGGAAACCTTCCGCTCTCAGGTGCGAGAAGAGCGGGCGCTGGCAGCAGGCCTAACAAGCAACACTGGGGCACCTGCTAGTTTGACTCAGCCAGGTCCTCAAGGTTCTTGTTCAGAGTCTGAAGCGGAAAAGTGAGCCGGGAAGCCACACACATTTAGCGAGGGGTGCTTGAGGCACACCGATTTGGCCTTTGGAACCTAAAAGAAGCCACATGCAAACGATATAGCTTGGGCGACAAAAGAAAGGACACGCATGTGAAAGCCTGAGTGGAGAAGCAACAGTGTGTCAAATGCCCTGAGCTTTTTGGAATCCCCCAATGCAGGTTCCGTTGTTTTTTGTTTTTTCATGTCCGGCTTTTTTCTGCCTCCACTTCTGCTAGAAGTCAGATGAAAAGAAGGCGGAAAGGAGGAAGAGCAAGACCAAAAGCAATAAACACATCGAGAGAACGAAGAAGATAAACTAGACGGTGACACCTTGTTACCGTGACCGTTACTGTTAGGCATCCAGCTGTTGAATATTTGCATGCCGAGTCAGCTGTTGTGATGTTCAGATGGTAGAGCCGGAGGTGCCAACCTGGGCAATAAATAACTCATTATGAGCCGAGCGATGCAAACACGTGCAACGCTCCGCATCGTGCTTCGCTCATTGGCACTGTGAAAAGAGTAATGTGGTCTGCTTGATCAGCCGCGCGCGTCTGTGCACATGCAGATGCAGAGGCATATGTAGCTATGCATATGCACAGAGACAAACATAGAGAGATAGATAGATAGAGACAGAGAGACAGAGAGAGTGACAGAGACAAGAAGAGACGCACCGCACGCATGTCAACATACCTTCGCAACATCGCCTAATATTTCACACGTTCACACACACACACACACCCACACCCACACACACACACACGTCTACATCTACCAATCAGTTTGATGGGACGTGGGGTCGACTGGTCAACTCGACTTGGCTCGTGTAAGCTACGACCTGCAAGGCGGTGCTGGTGCTGCAGCAGATGCTGGAAGAACGCGTGCCCACGGAGCGGGATGGAACGTGCCAGTCTTTGGCGGAGCTTCAAACTTTCTTTGGAAATCTCAGAGGGCAAACCTGGCGACTTTCTTCGGCGCACGCGGCCAACACTTCGCGGTGATATGTAGAATCTGGACCACTTGAACGTAAGGAACAGTCCTAATGTTCATTCTCTACTTGGGCATGGTTGTGAGTAGACCCCTTCAATACCAGGTTTTGATGGTGTCTCCCGGTGCTTGGTTTGTGCTGAAACAATGTGGTTTTACGTGTGTGGTGCGAAGTTGTGCATGCCGCTCTCTCCCTCAGCGTTGGATTTATGTGCAGGATATGGTCCTCTACAGCGCTGTGATGAGCGCCTGCGAGAAAGGCCAGAACGCCAGAAGACTTTCCGCAAGAGAGGGTCGCCAGCCAGCCAAGCGAGTAGCGGCTCGGGAAACCGTAGTTCCAACTGCATCCCGGAAAGCCCGCGCATTGAAGCAATGGGTACCTGGTTTGCAGCTGCAATCAGCAGCATACCCTTGGCTGGAATTTGTGAGGCATGCCAAGGTTGACTGTTGGAATGTTTAATATTTTCTGGGCCTGCGGCCTCCAGCTGGCTACGCCTCTTTGAAGTTATACCATGTCATGTCATGATTTTGTATGAGAAACGTATCCTGTGCTATGATATGGCTGGTTAGGTTATGCATGTTGCCCACCCCAACCCCAGATGATGCCGGGGATGCCAGCTTTCTTGGCCCCAGCCGGGCCCCAACCCAGGAGGCTGACATGGGATCGCGCGCGGACGCGCGCGCGCGCCAGAGGCCCCAGAAAGAGCAGCCCAAATTGAGCAGCCCGCAAGCCAGCCCGGAAACGCAAATGCAACAAGACACCGCAAATAGCAGCGTTTTGTGGCTGGGGTCGCGCGCGCGCGCCAGAAGGCCCGAAATCCAACGGGAAAAAAGCAAGGGCCGCGCAGCGCGCGAGCCAGCCACAGCAAAAGCAAAACGGACAGAACAACAGCCCACCGCTCAGCACAGCAGTTTTTGACCGTATTTACAGCTTTTTGTAGAGCGAGGGACCCAGCATCGCCCGCATGCCCGGCAGCGCTTGGCGCCAAAATGCGCGACAATGAGCCTCGATTATATCCCTCCGATACCTTAAAAACAGTGCTTTATGGGTTGAGAGGCTTTTTGGAAGGAAGTCTTGATGATGCAGACCAAGCCCCGCTGAAGCATCACCCAGGCCCAACCCCAGACCCTGATGATGTCAGCCACATGGCCTGAACCCTGCATCTACGCGATGTTTTGCGAGGGTTTCCCACAGGCAAGCAAAACCGCAAGCCCGAGCTGGTGATGCAGAGGCGACGGATTTAGGCCACGCGTCACGAGGGTCGGCGGCACCAGGGTGCAGCCCCGATAGCTAAAGCTAGCAGGCTAATTGCCTAGCGGCCACATGCTCGTAGCCGGATCTAAGGGCTACCGCCCTGTGCCGCCGCCCCCGGCTTGCTTAAACCAATTATGATTACGCGTTTTTTGTCGGGTTAAACGGCGCACTTAAAACAAATATATGAAAAAGAAGAGCGCCGCGAAAATGATCATGCTTTTGACGATTCAAATTATTACCCAACATTAGGGATGCTGATATTTATTACTATGCATTCGCATTATCGCCAACAATCATAATCATAACTATTACTTTACATTATTTGCATCACCAGCAATTATTATCAAAATTATGCCGACGCATTCCCTGCATCTCAGACAAGTTACTGCAGGATTAAGTCGCATGATGATGAGCACCTTGTTGGATTTTACAAGAAGTGCCCCGGTGTGTGCAAACTTGGGCAGGAAAACCATGTTGCGGGCACTTTTTTGGTTCGCAAGACTTCGTCGTGTTGCTGTGGATGCAAAGCGTGCACTTTGTTCGTCTTTGCGAGAAATGAGAAGCATGACTGCGCATCCCCTGCATTTCCAGTCGGGTCATGGTGATGATGATGATGATGACGATAATGATGATGATGTTTCTGATGGTAATCATCACTACGCATCCCCAGCATCACCAGCAGTTATCATGACAATCATCACTACGCATCCTTTGCATTTCTAGTCGTCTAACGGCGCGCTTGAAACGTGTCTGAAAAAGAAGAGCGCCACGATAACGATGATGATCCTGATGTCACCCACCATCAGTGCTGCTGAAAATCATCACTATGCATCCGCAGCATCGCCAGCAGTCATGATGAAAACGTTGCTTTGCACGTCAGATTGGGTCAGGATGATGATGATGATGATGGTGATGATCCTGATGATAATCACATCATGACTATGCATCCCCAGCAATACCAGCAGTTGAATGAAAAGAGGAGCGCCGCGATAATGATGATGATGCAAATCATCACCAAACATGATGATGAAGATGATGATGATGATGATCCTGATGATCATCACTACGCATCCCCAGCATCACCAGCAGCTACCGTGACGACACCCTGATGATGCTCATCACTTTGCATCCCCAGCATGAGCAGCAGCTATCATGAATATGCAGCGCCTGCATTCCAAGTCGGGTCGGGCCTCTTGAAACGTATATGAAGCAGAAGAATGATGAGTATCCGGATGCTGCGAACCATCACCCAACATCAGTGGTGATGATAATCATCGCGAAGGCAAGGACGAACACAAACCGTTCCCCATGAGCCTCCCCTTTGAAGAAAGGGGTCGGCGGATATTTATATGTGTCGTTTTGAAGAAGCTGTCCTTCTTTCCCACGTGTGATTTGCGGGCCGTGAGGCCGGCGCTGGGCAGAAGCGCTCTACCTTCTCAAAGAGGCCCTCAGGAAGTTCAGGCGGGATGGCCAGCAAGACACCCGAGTTGGCTGGAACGGACGTAGCGGAGCCTTGCAGGATTGTCAGGCATTGAGGCATGCCAAGCGAGGCCTGAAATCACGCCCTACAACGTCGTTTGAAACTCAGTCACGATCAAAGCCCCAGAGCTTGCGAATGAGCTTTGCAGAGCTTTGCAGAGCTCCAGAGGCTCAGAGCTTCGCCATTCTTCGATCCCAGCGAGTTGAGGTGATCAGCGCCTGTGCTCCAGGCGGCCAATGGGAGGTAGCAGTGCAGCTCTTGTCGGAAGCGGCGGACCTGGGGGTGGACGCGCCTTGGCAAGAGCCGGCCGTTTCGCTCCGTTTCTGAAGAGATTCAGCCCGATGAATCCGGATTCAGGATGCCGCATAGGCAAGGCAAAGCCAGGCAAAGCTTGGGGTCAGAAGAGGCGACGGCGCGGTCTGAGGTGCGCACCGCCAGCAGTGCAATCTCTGCGTGTGCAGAGGCGCCGTTTTTGGCCTGGCGGCTTCCCATCAAAGCCTGGCGAGGTAATCCCATTGCGATACATCGCAGGCCAAAGCCTGGGCGCCGGCCCTGGCCGTGTTGGCGGATATGCGCCAGCGGTCTGTGAGGCCGGGGGGCGACTGCGTGGGGTTGCCTAGCTGAGCCGGGTTCTCCGTTAGAATTGCACAGACGAATCACAGGCTCCCCAAAGAAGCATTTGTTTTGCAAGATGGCATGTTCAAAGAAGACTCGGAAGACTTGGTGTCAGAGGCTTTTACACGTTCCAGGCCCAACATCAAGGTCCTCAACGCCGCAGCCCTGACCCCAGCAGTCAGGACCCAGACTGGCCAGCCATGAAGCAAACCCACACGCTGATGTATTCTCCTCGAAGCGAGGTGGGAGCGTGTGAGGCGCCTGGCGTTGCGCTGGGCCTCTTGCAGGAGTGCAGAATCAAAGGGCCTCGACCCGGAGAACACGCGTCTTACGCATGGCCTAATTTGGATCAAAACGTGTGTTGGCAAACAAAGTCAGAGCCCCGTTTTTGGTACGCCAGAATCGGAGGATACCATTTTCACGTTGTGTTGGCCGACAGGTTGTGTGACGCATTCCAAAAGAATCGAACTCCAGGTAGCGCTGCTTACAGAGCTATTACCTTCAAAGGCAAGAGCAAGCAAAGGCAGCTCTCGACATGAGGGCAACGGTTCAGGGATGGTCCAATTACAGGTGCCGGAAGGACCAGCCTCTGGGAATCAGGAGATCCGTTCCGCAGACTTGGAGCCGGACATTCTGTCGTCTGTGGCCCTGGCGCGTTGCCTGTGTTTCCTGGGAGGGAATGGAGGCAGACTCTGTGACACTGGACGGCTGAGAGGCGGTCCGGTGACGCCGAGGTATGTCGCGGCAATCGAGGCCATTGCTGACAGGGGCAGCCCGAATCTTGGCAAGCTCCAGCCTTGAACATACATACCCACGTAATGTCACCACGAACCCTTCTGCTTCCAGCACCGTTTCAATCCGTAAGTTGAAGGGCTATGGGTCCTCAGTCACGCGTGCACACCTTGCTTTCGCTGAGTCTCATCGTGGCGGAGCGCAGAGGCAGCCATGGATGCTTTTTCATCCCGCTTCCGCTACCATAAAAAAGGCTTCTTCGTGTCGTTTTTGTTTTTGCCTTGGGGGGGCGGGAGGGGTCACAAACATCGGGACCAATCAATCAATCAAGATGCGAAGATGCGGACACATCGAGCGCATCCCAAGCTGTTGGTGTTTACGAGGCTGTCGCTTGCCTGGTTGGGACTGCATGTGCCCTGCTGGGCTGCTTAGCTGCAGGGAGTAAGCTCGATGGGAGGGGGTTGGAATGCGTTGAAATTTGTCTGCTTGCGCAGGCAACACCTTCTCTTCAGTGGAAAATCTGGCTGTGCATGCCTCAGGCTTTAGAGCATGGCTTAGGCTTTCTCGCGTGGCCCTAACGGAGCAATTTGCAACAAATACTTGAGAGGGGCAGCTGGTGCTGGCGCTTGACCTTCTGACAGATGCTGGTTTCTTCCAGGCAGGGGCAAGTTTTGCGGCCCCCGATGCGATGGAAACAGCCCAGTGGTCACACGTAGAGCCTCAGAAGTTAGCCGCCAGGCATACGGCTCTGCTTTACAGGCATGGAGTAGAGAGTCCGAGACGCACGTGGATGCCTTCTCAAGTAGTTTGATTTGCGCAACAGTTTGAGAGTCAGGAGTTCGCTCGCCGCACTTTGCTTGCACCTGCTTGGTCGTGCTCCCAAATGCGGTGGGGTAGGGGCAGCCGGACATAGGTTTTGGGCGCGTAGGGGTCACCTCAAGCCCAAGGCCACGCCTGATGGGTCTCACAAAGCGGAGGTCTGGTGCGGATCCCTGGGCGGGGAAGGCAGACCAAAGGCCCGGACTCTGGAAATCTCGGGATGGCTCAGCTGGTGGTTTGGCGCCTTGAGGCCGACCTTGTTTCATAAACCAAAGCCCCTAAACCTGAGCCCGTAGCCATTTTGGCTCAAGGAGAGTAGTGGGGATGAAGCCCTGCAGCAGGGTGGTCTCTTGCAATTGGTTGCTTGACGATTTGCGCCACGCTTTCTGTGGACTACGAGGACGAAACGCAAGCCCCTGCTGCTCGACCAGCCTGGCAGTGGTGCTTTGAACATGATTGATCAGCAAGGAGCGCCGCTCCGGCTGCACTGCCGCTGGAGAAATTTGGGAGGAGCAACGACTGAGGTGGGCCCGGATCTTCACGCACGACCTTCAAGAGGACTGGGAACTTGAAGCACGCTTCTCCGTGCAACCCGCGAATCTGGAAGCGGGTCAGGCCCTGCTGTTTGGTCTTTGCTGGAAATACGAGACTGCTCTGCGAAGTCCTGATTTGATGTGCAAGAGACGCAGCCAGCGGTGGATTGCAAGGACTGCCGGTTGAGGCTTTCTGCTGGCGCGGGTCTCTTTTAAACGCTTGACGCCCGCAGAGAGAATGACAAGTGATGTTGCCCCTGAAATAAAGGCCAAGACGCAGATGCTTACAAGAAGGCGAAGGATTTGTTTGCAAGCGGGGCCCTTCAAGGATGTGGCAGCTGCGCGCTTTTGCTGCGCGTGGCACGCAAACACATTTCCAAGGCTTATTCTGAAGGGCTTGGCTTCATTCCTAGTTCCGAGCTTCTGGGCGGCCCGGGGAGGACGGGGGTGACAGCAGTAGATCGATGGTTTTCTTCGCGCAGTCTTCTGCGCGAGGCGCTTGTTCCGCTGGCAGAGGCGAAGGTGGGGGTTGCAGTTCAGACGCTTTGGCGGCCTCCGAGAGTTGGAAGCGGCTTTGCGCTTCAGAAGATAACCTGTTGCGCAGCCTCGATCACGCCAAGTGGGAAAGAGGACGGCCGGGGCCAGCTGAGAGCCTTAAAGCTGGCGGCGGTGACATTGGGCCCGGGAGGGTGAGCCTTAAGAACCCACGCGCCCTAGCGTCAAGTTTGTCCCACCTTGTCCAACACCGTAGACACAGAATGGAAAGAGCGCCGGACGACGGGTAGAGCGAAGTGGAACCAGCGAGTTTGAGGAGGTGTGGATCAGAGTGGGGCCGTGGTCCTTTTTCGGTTTGGTTTGTGAGCGGTGTCACGCCGGCAGTTGCATTGCGCTGCTGCTGGGAGTTGACTCCACTGATTTGACGGAAGTTGAAGGTGAGATCGGAGGAGGTGTGGGTTGGGAGCTCCCCCAACTTGCATTTTGGACCTGCCCCTTGGCTTGCAGATTTTGTGGGAGAGGTGTTGCATGCATACTGGCGCACTAACTACCAGCGGTTGTGTTCCGCGGCTGATGCGGGTGTCATGCGTGTTGCGTGGATTGCCTTTCCCAGGCTCGGCGCTCCGGGATTCTGTGTTGGAGCGGCAGTTTGGCCTGGGCAACGCGTTGACAAGCCGTGCCTGGCGCCCAGATGGCATGTGGAGGGTCTTATTGCCCTTATGCCCCTTAATTATTCCCCTGTTCCTGATGGGATTGAAGCAGGCTTGAGGCGTGGTCGGTTTTCAGATCTGGTTCCTGAAGCTTGGGGAAACTCAACGCCTCAATTTGGTTTTCATTTTTGTTCTGGCTGTTTGTGTTACAGATATGAGTTCTTTATGGGCATGGGACCTCCCTCCCATCAGTTTCACACTGGCCCACAACGAATCAGGAAAAAGGCAAGTACATGCTACGGGACAGGGAAAGGCAGACGCAGTAGGCAAACCAGGCGTGGTGTACTTGTTACACTTGATACCTAACAGCCGTTACAACATTTGCTCCCTTGGTTTCTTGCTGTGGCAACTGGCAGCAGTGGCTGAGACCTGCGGAAAAAGGCAACCTCAGATGCGTATTTGCCATCCAACTTGTTTGCTAACAGCCATGATCCTGCAATTGTCAAATTCCAGAAGCGGTGATCAGCAAAGCACCAGCGCAACAAAGACCTATGGGTGATCGGGCCATATTGGTAAGTGTTTAGCCACTGCAGTTGTCTCTCCACGCAGGGGGACTTACAAGCGAGCTATAACATGGGCTAGTGACAGCTATCTAACTCGGCCAGCTAGAAGTGGGGTGCAAAAGGCCAATACACCCCAAACCGATTCACAAGGATCCTTCAAAACATGGACGGAAGTCCCCCGTCCCACAATGGCACGCAGGCCCTTCAATATCGCCGTTTTGTGTGAGCCATGTCAACGTACGCAAGTTGAGAATTTGCAATGTTCGGCGCAAAGCCCGCGTTTTGGTCTGACACCTTACTTCTGATATGGTGACCTACGGTTAGCGCAGATCCCCTGAAAGACTCGTGTTCTACAGTTGCTAAGCAGGGACATCCCGATCCCTACTCAACCCCAGGTTGTTTCCTCTTCGCGGGTCCTACCCCTTTGGCCCCTCCCCAATAAAAGATTGAGCTCGCCTTTTCTTTTCCAACTTTTGGGACAGACTCCCGAAATACTTGTGAATGGTCACAGAGCGCATTCTTTTTTCAGAAAGAAAGTCCCGAAAGCATTGCGATTCTTGCGGTAAAATCGCCAGCCTTATCACACAGCTAAACTTGCGCGAGCCAACTTGCACCAGCCTTATCGCACAGCCAAACTTACGCGAGCCAACTTACACGAGCCAACTTGCACGAGCCAACTTGCACAGCCAACTTACACGCGCCAACTTGCACGAGCCAACTTGCTCGAGCCAACTTGCACGAGAACAACTTGCACGAGATAGCACACAGCCAAACTTGCCCGAGACATTTGGGCACGAAAGTAATTAGTTAGTCTCTTAAGGTGGCGCGGTGGGACCGAACCCACCCTGCAAAAATGACACCCTCTGCGGGGATTGGCGTGGTCGATGTCCAACAACGGTGGACTTTTTACTATTTCTGATTTGCCCGTGTGACCCTCTGCGGGGATTGGCGTGGTCGATGTGCAAAAACTGTGGACTTTTTACGATTTCTGTGGTGCCCGCGCGACCCTCTGCGTGGATTGGCGTGGTCGATGTGCAAAAACTGCGGCCGCGCGACCCTCTGCGAGGATTGGCGAAATGCTAGTAAAATGCTACTTTTCCAAGTCGGAACGCGGGCTTGAGAGTGTCAAAGCAAATAAAGCCGACATGTGTGTGTGTGTGTCACACTTGCGCACGTGCGTGCGTGCGTGTGTATGCTACCGCGGATATCTGCAAATTTTGCCCTTCTGTGACTGATACGCTTCGGCGCTGCGCGCTGTGCACTTGCGCGCGTGCATGTGCGTCTGTGCTAGCGCGGCTTGCGCGCATGCACGTGTGTGTGTGCTAGCGCGGATACCTGAAAAGTTTGCCCTTCTGTGACTTATAAGCTTTGGTGTTGCGAGCTCTGTGCACTTGCGCGCAGTGCGTGCGCGCGTGCTACTGCGGATATCTGCAAAGTTTGCCCCTCTGTGACTGATAAGCTTCGGTGTTGCGATCTCTGTGCAAGTGTTGCTCTGCGCAAGTGCTCGGCCCAAGTGTTCAGCGCACGTTGCTCTGCGGGCGCAAGTGCTCTAAGCAAGTTGCGATGCGCAAGCGCTACGCAAAAGTATGCTGCGCAAGCTCGGGACAAGTTTCTATGAGCAATTTCTCCGAGCAAGTTCTCTGCGTGCAGCGCTGACCGCAACATGGCAACCTTTCGATTTGAGCCGGAGCTACGAACGCACCCTTTGTGAGCCACTTTCGCGCTGACTTTCTAACTTAAAGGCCGCGGAGACCAAGCAGGATTCGAGCCCGGGGCCGGTCACTGCCAAGACCGCAAACACACGCACACGCACACACACACACACATGCGCGCGCACACACACACACACACACACACACACCCACACCCACACAAACACACACGCGCGCACGCACGCACGCACGCACGCACGCACGCACGCACTCGCGCACGCACGCGCACACACGCAGGCACGCACGCACGCGCGCACGCGCGCAACAGCAACCGCGCGCAAGCGCACAGAGCTCGCAGCACCGAAGCTTATCAGTCACAGAAGGGCAAAATTTGCAGATATCCGCGGTAGCGCAGCCGCACGCACATGCGCAATTGTGACACACACACACACACACATGTCGGCTTTATTTGCTTTGGCCTGCCGTGGCAAGAGTTGAGACATGCGACAGCTGGGTGCTGAATGCAAAAGGCACGCAGGCACACACACACATGCACGCACGCACGCACGCACGCAGGCACCCACCCACACATACACACACCCACACACCCACACACCCACACACACACAAACACAAACACAAACACAAACACAAACACAAACACAAACACAAACACAAACACAAACACAAACACAAACACAAACACAAACACAAACACAAACACAAACACAAACACAAACACAAACACAAACACAAACACAAAAACAAACACAAACACAAACACAAACACAAACACAAACACAAACACAAACACAAACAAAAACAAAAACACAAACACAAACACAAACACAAACACAAACACAAACACAAACACAAACACAAACACAAACACAAACACAAACACAAACACAAACACAAACACAAACACAAACACAAACTCAAACACAAACACAAACACAAACACAAACACAAACGCAAACACAAACACAAACACAAACACAAACACAAGCACAAGCACAAGCACAAGCACAAGCACAAGCACAAGCACAAGCACAAGCACAAGCACAAACACAAACACAAACACAAACACAAACACAAACACAAACACACACCCACCCACCCACCCACCCACCCACCCACACCCACACCCACACCCACACCCACACCCACACCCACACCCACACCCACACCCACACCCACACCCACACCCACACCCACACACACACCACACCCACACACACACCCACACCCACACACACACACACACACACACACACACACACACACACACACACACACACACACACACACACACACACACACACACACACACACACACACACACACACACACACACACACACACACACACACACACACACACCACACACAACACACACACACACACACCACACACA